GTTTTCCAGATCGATGTTGTTTTAAGTTGATCATTGTTACCATACACTGATTACCGTGGTGTTATTTGACGTACCTTGTGTGTATGTGTAGAGAGAGAGAGAGAGAGATAACATAATGCTTTTCCTGGGAGTCACTGCATCGACAGACAAGGCCATTGTTGCTGATATTATAAGTCACGAATCCGTAACTTGAGTGTCCGTGCACTGATGACCGTAATATTAAAAGAGATATCTGGCCCTCGAGGAGGAGAGGGTACCGTAGTACCCTATTGATTTTGGTATCAGAGGTCAAAAGTCATCGTCATAAAGTCAATTGAGGGATAATACGTGTTTTTTTGTGTTTTGTACAGTATTAGAAACCATATTAAGGAATTCTGTATAGTAGTAGAAACCATAGGCCTACTAGGGAATTTTTATGCGTAACTTGTGAGCATTTTGTTTAACTGTATTATAGTGAGATGGTGTGTATAGATGCAGGTTTTGATGAGTTGTTCCTTAGTGGTAAGTGAACATTGAAGTGATGCGGTTGTTGATGGTGCAGTGTTTGTAATGTTCTTGATGGCAAATTGTTCATGTTATGGTTTATTTAATTGTAAAGGATTGTGGACTGTCTAGGCATTTTCTGAAGGGGATTACAGGGACTTATCCTCACTCCTTTATCTCAATTTGTGACCAGGGTAACCAGGCGACCTCTTGATTAACCAGGCTGTTACTGTTAGCCGTTTACAAGCTGTGAACTCTAACCACTATTCACAGCTTGACTAACTCGACGAGAAAAAAAGACATGAATACCTAATTAATGTCAAACACGCATGAAAGACGTAAAATAGTCTCAATTTTGAATCCGAATCCTGGGCCAGACCGTCACAACAGAACGTGTCCTTGGAAACATGCACTGGTTGACGTGTCTTGTATGCCCTGGCAACACTTTGAAAATTCACTGGCCTCGAATGTAAAGGCTGAGTGTACTTAACCCAACCTGTGTGTGTACTTGAGATACCAGTATTTTGCACATAACATCGCATCGTTTATTATTGTTCGTGTATGGTTAAGGACTGGTCTTTCGCCATTTTTCCACAACGGTGAGACGGGTGAGTACTTAGAAATCAGGCACTCCGGTATGTTAGATTTTGAGCCTAACTCGTATATTATGTCGTAAATGTTTTCTCTATACGTTTTTATATCTCAGTAGTTTGAGCGGCCTTGGAAGATGTGTTTACTCTGAGCAATGTTCCAGACGAGAGAATACAATGGTGTGAACAGTGGGATGATCGGCTGTGTTGTGGAGTTCAGTATAATCATTAGGTGAAGTAAATATTTATTCTTTATAGGATTGAAAAGAAAAAAAGTTCTGAAGTTTGTTAATGAATTTTGTCTTAAATTTTACCGTATATTGAAAATTTTCAGTGTGTGTGTGTGTGTGTGTGTGTGTGTGTGTGTGTGTGTGTGTGTGAGGAGATTTAAGACTTACATGCGCCCATTCATCTTGATTATAGTCAGCTAAGTTATACTCATTACCTTACTTGTCACGGAACACATTAGGCTCCACGATGACAGCTGTGTGGCAAGTGTTGACGGTACTGCTGCCTCACCCTCCTTACCCTCCCTCACTAGTGCTCCAATGTAATCTTCCCTTGCTCTCTTGAATCCAGTTTATATTCCTTCACCGTGTTGCGTGTTTTATCTCCTTGCCACCACGCCACTTGGGTGCGTGTTAGTGAGTGGGTGGGTTGGTGTGGTCGACTTTATTTTGGTTTATGGTCAATTGGTCATTAGCCGGAGAATCAGAAACAAAATAGAGATCACCTGAAGATTAGCCACCCCTCAGTATACTTTATTTCATCTCAAGATAATCCATCTAACCTAACTTAACCTAACCTAACCTAATCAAACCTAATCCTAACCTAACTTAACATAACCCCCCTGGGAGCGTTCGGGTGGTTAATCATCATGTGAAATAAGCTGGGCATTTGCGTTACATAAACTTTATACTTGTTTTAGGCGGGAGAAGGGAGGGGTGGGTATTGCGAGGTAGGTGAGTAATCTATACTCTTTACCAACTAGTGTACTATATAAACACACACACACACACACACGTTATAAACATCAGAAAGGTGGTGGCAGGGGGGAGGAGGAAGGGGAGTAGTAGTAGTGGGGAGGGGGTGGCATTATGTGGGCCATTGAGTCACTTGAAAAACAGAAGGTACTGTGTGATCTAAGCTACCTACTGAGATGTCCTCACGTCACCTGCCTGAAATATATTGATCAAAGCTTGGACGGTAGAGGGCGGCTGTGTCCAGATACTATCGCAAGGTGTGTGGAAGGGATGTAGGGTCGACTCTCTCTCTCTCTCTCTCTCTCTCTCTCTCTCTGTCTCTGTCTCTCTCTCGTACTTGCTAACATGTGTATCCGAGTACTTGTGTTTCTGTGTTATCTAGGTTGTATCATTCCCATTATCATAATCGTCTAGTTCCTTTTCTTATCGTCATATCCTTTCCTTGTATGTGTGTTTTGTGTGTGTGTGTGTGTGTGTGTTTTGTCATATGTGTTTGATTATTATCGTTAAACAGTAGAAAAATTCCTGTTTAATTAAAGCGTCTATCACATTGGGTTTTTTCTTACATAATTACCAGAAAGTCCCTTGGTAACGTTTATCAGTTGTCATTTGCTATCTATAAGAAAGGTTTCCCCCAGAGTTGTGTTAACTTAGTCAGAGAGGCGGGAACATTATACAACTTCCCGGATGTGACAATGGTGGCGCCACACAACTTAGGGAAAACAGTTATCATCGACAGAAAAGTTTTCTCTCACTTCGTCTCATAAATTGAATATTTCACCGACGTAACGATGTTGTGGTGATGGTACAAGCGACAGACACTCCTTATCTGGATTTTTGTATTGTGTTTTGTTATTCGTGTCTTTTTGTGGTGTTTACTAATGGTTAGGGTGAGTTATTGCTGTCCCTCAGGCCTCAGTGTGTGCATGTGCCGGACCCCTCTTGGACATGACTCACTTCCATACCGAGATCGCAAGGCTGAGTTAATAATAAATAAAAATCGTAAAATACACTCACGTAAGCCTGACTCGTGTTGTCTTCTCCAACATACCTCAGCTAAGTCTCCCTACCATTAAACTCTGGCGTATTAGCTGGGGCGAGGAGTAAATTCCGTAAACATTTTATTAAGTGTATTTTAGGTACAGGTGCGCGTATATGTGATAGCTGAATCAAATGGTGCGTTACATAAATATATTCTCAAACGGATAGTAACAGCTTTCCTAAATGATTAATTTTTATTCAAACTTAACAAAAACTAACATAGTTTTCTCAGTTGGCATAATTATCGGCCAGTTTCTGAGGAACTGGGTGAACTTTCAGCTTTCACCAGGTCGGTCCACAACAACTTGCCCGCTAAACTGAACACAGGACACGGGGGGGTTCCTCCAACTCTGCGGTGATGAGTAAATAGCGAGTGCAGCTTTGCATTTATGGAGCAGAAGTTCAGGTACGTATCTAGAGAAGTTAAATAACAATTAAAAATGAGGAACGTTGCCACGGTTTAAGAAATAAATTGTTGAACCTGCCCCGAAAATCTTTGTGTATTGCATCATCCGGCATCCTGATAACTTACTGTGATTATCTGATGTCCCCCAAACGAGAAAGACAATTTTGGTTACCACGTTTCTTCCTCCGAACAATTAATTGCCACTCCGTCAATTTTAGGTTAATTGAAATCCAGTCCACCTACTTAATTCTCTTAATGTTTTGAGGCTCAGAAGTATTCTGCCAGGTATACATGTGACTTAGTTTGTATGTTTGACTATTTCACAGGAGTCAAAGTTCACCAAAAATGCATTAGTTCTGGTTTTGGGTTCACTGTTCCTCGACGTGTTAACTAATGTAGTCCCTGAGGCGGGTACACAGATACAGCTGGAGCCTCCACACACCAATAGAGATAACATTGTACATCATATTTATTTTTCATTATTATACAGGAGTCAGAGGTCACCAAACATTGCACGTATGGTGTTATTGGCTCATGATAGTCCCAAGTAAGTCATATGGAACTGAAAGGAGCATATATATATTTATATATATATATATATATATATATATATATATATATATATATATATATATATATATATATATATATATATATATATATAACAGTTACCAGTGTATCTAGGCCTATTTAATTTACTGTTACTACCTTACGTTCACTTTACGTCTTGTCAGTTTCAGTTATTTGCCGAAACTCTTCACCATTACAATGTTTTGGTAATATGAGCGAAAACTTATTGTGTAGATTACATTGTTTCATATCGGGTGTTTACCATTCTTCATACATCAGGGTAAGAACAGCCTCACACACGGAGCTGCTGCCGCCTAGGATAGTCCATTATCACCGTCTGGATTCTCAAAGTTTCGTACGTTGAATTGTTGTACTTGACCTGTGATAAGAGAACGCATCTAATGATAATAAGAGTCTTAGGTGTAAATGTGACGTCACTACGGCAGCCACCTGTGTACACGTAGCATAAGAAGTAAACGAGTTAGATGCGTTCTTACATCTCCAGTCAGGCGGGAGAATTAACGCACAAACCTTTAAGAGTACACGACCAGCACCTTTATCTTAGTATTGCACAGTAAGGTAGACTTAGTGTTGAACACGTTGAACACCATTTTGCCCAGACTGCACAACTACCTCACACGCTCCTCCTCTCACCGGATGATCTGCTCTCTCTCCCTCTTCTGCACTCACAAGCTTTACCTCTCTCGTCCTCTTTATTACTAATTCATTGCTGGATGGTATTCCCTCTCTTATACTCATGGGTGCTGCTCTTTGCCTATTACTGGAGTAGTAGGATATTGCCCCTTATATACAAACGGATGGTTTCCCCTTTGCACTAAAGGGTGCTGCCCTCCCCTCCTTCCCCCCACCCTGGAGTACTGACGGGAGATGTCACCCCCCAGGAGTGCCACGTACACCCGGCCAGTCAACAAGCCCCTCACCCCCCTTGATGCTGCCGCCCCCCACCTCCCCCTCCACACCACCCGCCGACCACGCTGGCTCTGGGCCCCCTGGCGCTCCCACTCTCACGCAGGTGAGCCACTCCCTCACAGGTGAGCCACACCCATGTAGATGAGTTTAGTTCATGCATGATTGCCATCCCCGCACAGGTGAGCCATGCCTCTGTCAGCCAACCTCCGCACAGATGAGCCATGCCTTTGCCAGCCAACCCCCGCACAGGTGAGCCAGGCCTCAGTTAGCCAACCCCGCACAGGTGAGTCCTGCCTGTCAGCCAACCCTCGCACAGGTGAGTCACGCCTCTGTCAGCCAACCCCCGCACAGGTGAGCCACGCCTCTATCAGCCAACCCCGCACAGGTGGGCCATGCCTTAGTTAGCACACCCCCGCACAGGTGAGTCACGCCTTTATCAGCCAACCCCCGCACAGGTGAGTCACGCCTTTATCAGCCCAACCCGCACAAGTGAGCTACGCCTCTATCAGCCAACCCCGCACAGGTGAGCCATGCCTTAGTTAGCACACCCCCGCACAGGTGAGTCACGCCTTTATCAGCCAACCCCCGCACAGGTGAGTCACGCCTTTATCAGCCAACCCCCGCACAGGTGAGTCACGCCTTTATCAGCCAACCCCCGCACAGGTGAGCCACGTCTTTGTAGATGGGCCAGTTCCTGTATGAGATCCATTTTCTCGCAAGTGAGCACCGTCTTCAAGGTCATCCATGCCAGTATATGTTAACTGCGATCATAGATGAGTCACACCCGTACTCTTGTACACAAACAGGTGACCCACACATCTGTTGTCATACGAACGCACACGAGCCACACCCCTGCTATTATACGCACATAGGTGAACCACATCCCTTTTATACATAGATAGAGGAGCCATACCCTAGACGTATACACTCACATGAACCACACTTCTATAATTGTACGCACACATGTGGCCATGCTTCTCTTCCTTACTCTGTTTACGCTGAGGTGAGCCAAACCCCTGTGATCTTACATACAGGTGAGCCATACCCATGTTGCTATACACAAAGTAAGTGAATCACTCCCCTGTTGCTTGAGCCACAGTCCTGGTGCTATACACACTTACTCAAACCAGACCTTGTTGCTATGCACACAGTTAAGGCACACCACTGTTGTTATACACACGATAAACTGTTCCCCACCTGTGATACATGTATAGTGGTGTATAACTGGTAACTGGTAGCTGTTGTCTGTACTGGTGACTGGTAGGTTGTTGTCTGTGCTGGTGACTGGTAGATGGTAGGTGTTGTCTGTACTGGTGACTGGTAGATGGTAGGTGTTGTCTGTACTGGTGACTGGTAGGTTGTTGTCTGTACTGGTGACTGGTAGATGGTAGGTGTTGTCTGTATTGGTGACTGGTAGGTTGTCTGTGCTGGTGACTGGTAGGTTGTTGTCTGTGCTGGTGACTGGTAGGTTGTTGTCTGTACTGGTGACTGGTAGGTTGTTGTCTGTACTGGTGACTGGTAGATGGTAGGTGTTGTCTGTACTGAGGTGACTGGTAGGTTGTTGTCTGTGCTGGTGACTGGTAGATGGTAGGTGTTGTCTGTACTGGTGACTGGTAGGTTGTTGTCTGTGCTGGTGACTGGTAGATGGTAGGTGTTGTCTGTACTGGTGACTGGTAGGTTGTTGTCTGTGCTGGTGACTGGTAGATGGTAGGTGTTGTCTGTACTGGTGACTGGTAGTACTGTACTGGTGACTGGTAGATGGTTGTTGTCTGTACTGGTGACTGGTAGGTTGTTGTCTGTACTGGTGACTGGTAGATGGTAGGTGTTGTCTGTACTGGTGACTGGTAGGTTGTTGTCTGTACTGGTGACTGGTAGGTTGTTGTCTGTACTGGTGACTGGTAGGTTGTTTGTACTGGTGACTGGTAGGTTGTTGTCTGTCCTGGTGACTGGTAGATGTTTGCCAGGTAGACACAATAAACATGGAGTGGTAGGTAACACGTAGTCTACTCTGCCTGGCTGGGCGTCGCCTGCTGACAAGTGGCGCTGATGTGTACAATGGCGGTGTTCATGTTTCACTTTGGGATGTTATCATGAACTCTCTCTCTCTCTCTCTCTCTCTCTCTCTCTCTCTCTCTCTCTCTCTCTCTCTCTCTCTCTCTCTCTCTCTCTCTCTCTGTATGTATGTATGTATGTATCTGTATGTAAGTATATATATGTACACTGTATTCCTGCTTTTTCAGTAACACTTGAATGTCAAGGTTGAGGTATGAGTTACGTGTGCGCTGCTGGTACAGTACCTGGCACACACACTTGTAAACGCACTCATACACAAGTGTGCTGAACACCTGCAACTCGCTGGGGTTAGTCATAGCTTAGTCACCACCGCATTCAGAGCTGCTGAAAGCACAATACCTTCCCTGGTGCATGTGGGAGAGTAGTGTGGTGGTGCCATGCCCTACTTCACTACACCTCTCATCACTTTAAATGTTGATGATGTATTGATTTATTTTCAAATTATTTTGCGAAGCTGTATTGTCTTCCTGACCTGCCACCTTCCATTAAATCCCTTTATCGTCGGCAAGCTTGATTTTGTGGCTCGATATATTCTCATCTATATCGTTTATGCAGGTTACACAGAGGATGGGTCCCAGGATGGATCATTCCACTGACAACCTCTCTTTGGTGTGACTCTACTCCGTTATGACCATACTTTGACACCAGTCTTTTAATTAATGTTCAACCCATCCCATTATCTTGCTCCTGTGGTGCAATGTTCTTGGATCGTAGAGGCTATCGGTGCATGTGACACTTTATCGAAAGTCTTAGAGAAATCAATGTACATCACATCCACTGGTAAACCTTTGCTCGTGTAATCTGTTACCGTTTCTAAGAAAATGAGCCAATTTTTCAAACAAAATACTTTCCACGAAATCATGTTGTAATGCGTTGTGTTATATCAGATGTTGGGGGATGACGTTCCTCAAAAAGTTCTCAAATAGTTTGCAGGTAAGTTATGTTATGCTGCCTGGTCTATGGTTCTCTGTCGCATTCTTTTTGCTCTTTTTGAATGTCAGGGTGATGCTGGCTGATATCCCGACTCTGGATCCTTTACCTTGACCCTGAGATTTTCTGAACAGTAGTCTTAGTGGATTATATATCTCATTCGCTACCTCTTATCATCTTAGTCTGTGATTCATCTACTCCTGGAGCAATGAATTCCTTCCGGTTGGCTATTTTTTTTTACAATCTCCTAATTATATAACTGCTATCCTCATAATGTATGTTCCTTCCATTAAATATACAGCCTCCTAGTGACTGGCATGTTACCCTGTGTCTCCTGTGTGAACCCTGATGCAAACTATTCATTTAGTGTATATGTTGTCTTCATGTTGTCCTCCAGAGCCAGGTTGTTTACGTCTTTTAGAGTGCATCGATTACCTTCATCATACTTCAGGTTTACGTATATATAAAAGGACTCGGGTTTTTGTTTAAGGGTGGGGGGGGCATAGGACACCCTCCTTTCGAATTTAGGGATCTCCTGTACTCTGTATAGTCCGTATTGTGCTTTCGTTTGGGCTTCAGTATTTTTTCCAGAGCTGGTTGATGTTTTCTTGTGATGCCTCTCTTGGCCTTCTGGTTTATCCCTCCGGACGTCCTTCCTCTTCCTTGACTTGCTGGTACACATTCATTACTCTGCCTCTGTCTCAAGGATTCTTCTTTTATAATATCTTCCCAGTTTATTCTCTGCATATATGCCTCACGTGCTGGTAGTAGTCACCATGGACGGTCTCATGACGTGTTCCCTCACTGGCGGGAGTAATACAGTGTGTGTGTTGAGTTGTTTGGGACACACTGCATAGCGTTAAAGTGAAATTTGTCGATACAGTATCAGTTTTTTATAACAATAATAGCTGCACCTTGGATACATTGTAATGTATTGATTGGAAATTGAAATTTAGTAAGCCAGTCTAACCGTGGCATCGACGTGTCAAGTTTTTTCATGTAAAAGGACTTGAGACTGTCTGGATATTTTCCGAGGCTGACAAACTTGTCCCAAATGCAACTTCTGGCCACATCTATATACAGTATGTCTGCTCTTCCAAAAAAAGAAAAGAGAAAAAGAAGAGATTTCCTTAATGGTTCGTGATCCATTATTCCTAGTTGGTCCAGTGATTGTTTTATCTTGAGCGAAACATGTGAAGCACGAGAAGGCAGTGGCGTACTTGTCGCGTTTTTCAATGAATTTATAGTCATCTCGGTGAGTGGCAAAACACTATTTCTGAAGAGCAAGAAAAGAGAAAACTGACATTTTTCGACGGCTTTACTTTTGGGGGGCGGGGGCGAGAAACTCAAATCTCAGCAAGGAAAATAGGCGTAATAATATTCTCTATATTTATCAGTAGAAGTGTTGCTGTTTAGGTCAACATCCAACCTGCTCTTCCGGTTTCATGAAAATCGGTTCCTCCGTTAAAGCGCTTCTCGGATTTGGTTCTTTACTTGACCTGAATCTTTGACCGAGACCTGTACTTTCTCTACTACCGCCCATTGTATAGATAGTTTGTTCTCACACAGACAAGTGTATTGACAGACAGACAGACAAACTCTCAAACAAATGACAAAATTTGTTACAGAGGGGAGAAGTTTATCTCAATGAGTCAACTGAGGTGTTCTAGCCGGATGAATTCATTGTATTCGTGAGAGTAGTAAACATTTGCAGGTGGATAGGTGTGTGTGTGTGCGTGTGTGTGTCGTTTCTCGCCCCTCAGTAGATGCTCTCCCTTAAGTAGTCTAAGTGTTCTGACTGTACTGGTATTTGTAGCGTCATTGACCGTGGTGTACAGTGTCAAGGGAAGAGACCTACAGGAGCGGTCAAGAGTCTTAGGGTAAAATATTGTGTAAAAAAAAAGAAAGAGGTATCCATGCTCTTCGACCAGGAGTTTACATTCCTTATGTGAAGATTGGTTCAACTAAAATGTATTAAAAAAAAAGAAGCTAGGAGAGAAGTTGCTTTGTAAGAAATGACCCTCGTCCCTCGCACCATTTAAGATAGTGGTAGTAACCATACTTGATGCTTAATTTATCTTATGTGGATGATATCGTCCTGGTGGCCAGGTTGAAGAGTGAATTATATACAAGAGGCGGTACTGTTGACGATGTTTCCCTCTGATCAGCTAGGGGCATCTGTCTTGGTAGTTAGGAATAGTTGTAGAATGTCGGGCATTGGTTTTGGAAGTTCAGAGACCATACCTCTTCCATACAGCCCAGGACTGCTAGTAAGTATATGGTCCTCTTAAGTCTTTTTTTAATGTTGTGTTCCCTGAGGTGAGACAGAGAACCTTTATAACTTGTTCTGCATCGTTTAGTGTCAGCCTCCCGTCAACTTAACTGTTGGTCCTTGATTGGCTGTTGTCAAATATTTACCTTTTTATTTTCAACTGTTGCTATCGCTTCGTATAAACATTTTGTAATAACTCTCTACCTTGTCTGTCTGCATTACTAAAAACATATGTTTACTTGCAGGACCTCCGGTCTCTACCAAGTCTTGCGACGACCTGCACCGCGTCAGCGCCCCTGTCCACCCTGCCAGTAGTAGATCTGAGGGGTGCCTCCTAACTCTGCTGCTGACTCCCTCACTGTTACTGACGCCTCGCACCAATACTCCACCTCACTCCGGCACCAAGTATCGCTTGTGGCGTGGATTCAGCCGTAGCGCAAGGGACGTCAGTCTAGCGCCTCTCTCTTGTCCTCCTCGTCCCGCCATCAGTCTGGCCGTCATGGATAAGTTCACGCCGCGGGCACCCCGACCTGTGCGCCACAAGGCCAGCACACTGCCCTATTCTCCTGCCTCAGGTCCACAACCTATGGATCGGCGGCATCGTGGCTTAGTAGCACTTTTACGACGACTGAGTCCTAGACTAAAGCGGACGCCCTCACCTGACCGTCCCTGGGTGAAGGTGGAACCGCGGCCTGCTGACCGCACTTCTGTTGCTTCCGACCACAGCTTCGAGACCGCCTTACAGGTGCGCTACCCAGAGATGGTGGCGTATAGTGCCTCTCACATCCAGAGCAATAACACACACAATTCTGCAGATGCTGGATTGAATAAGAGTGAAGGAGGTCGTGGTAGCCGGGGAGGCCTGAGCGGTCTACTCAACTCCTTGCGCTCTGCTAAATCCGGACGTCAAGACAAGAACAGTTCCAACAGTGTAGCGAACGACAAACATCGTGACAAAGAGACAGTTACTATCACAAGGGAGAGTGACCACCAGCTACAAGAGCGCTACTACAGGGACCCGGGGGTGGAGGGCGGCGAGGGTCAACAGAACGGTGACACCAGACACACCCAACCGAGACTTTCTCCCCAGGTCAGTACACATACCTGAGTCAGTTAACACAGTGTCAGGATGCTTGTTGTGCACGTCATTGTCCCTTTATCTTGTATTGGATTTTGTTTTGTTTTGTATAAGGTTGACCAGTACTGTATAGCCCAGCTGAGGCTGTCCGCAGCACCACAAACACACCGCCTTAAATATTGCTCCAGTTTTCTGGGGTCGTGGTCACGGTTCAACTATAAATAAGATCTCTCACGATAACTTGCCAAATTTTAATGATATATGAACTTGACCTTAGAAGTAAGATATTTTCAACAGTTATAATTACTTATTGTCTGCCACATAAGATCACATTAAACCTAAAATATCAAGATTGTAAATTAAGATCGTTGAGCCAGGCAGCGACTGGGGCCATAAAATGTAACTTTCAGAGACCCCCAACAATGTCCCGCGGTCCAGCCATTTCACAATTATCATCATGTCGAGATACCTTTCATCTTAAGTGACCCTACGACTTTTTTCTTGGAATGATACATATAAGGTAGTGCTATTCTGCCTTGCAAATGCCATTGAATCGAGTTTAGGTCATTAAAAAAAATCAAAGTGATAGCTTAGGATTCAGCCATTGGGGACTATTGCCTTATCATGGGCTCTGTTATGTAACAAACAGCATATACACAAGTTTAACCCCAGCATATTTCACCTACAGATTATCCACCCTAACGCTAACCTAAACTAACCTAACGAAATATAGTACTGAAATCTGACCAAAAATTATGGCACTATGACACGTTGTTCTGTGATAATGTTACCTGTAGCTACCAATGTTTATACTAAATACTATGGCTAAATTCATTGGGTAGACCACTCCTTGAAATCTCTTATACTATTTCGTAATTCCAGTTAGTGTTTAGTTTTCACAAGGGTTAGTGTTGCAGGATATTTAGGAATACCTTTACAGAGCACCGTTTGTAGTTTGAAGGGATACTACAGTAAGTTAATGTTAATGTGAGGAGGGAGTTGGCTCGTAAAAACTCTCACACAATATCATTGGTTGGCATTAGCATATTTTTTGAAGTATTTTATAGCAGACAGTGTTTGTGCTGTTTGGTAAATGTAACAATTGCCTCAGCAACACATGTCCAGTAGCCATCCTCCCTTGACCAATACCCACCCGCCTTGATACGAATGTTCGTTTGTGCCACGTCGCCCTACACACACCAACGCCCTGGGGAACACACCTGCATATGTATGGTTTCAGTCGGTCTGGAACCCCGGCAAGTCAGAGTTCTTTATATAGACTTCGGGTTGTACTCCCAGAGACAGAGGCACTACAGGATAAAAGTGTTTTAAATAAATACACCTACTGTCATTATCTGTTACATGTTTACTCCATATAGCAAACAAACATTTAAAATTTTGCATATCAATAAATATTTTTTCAACGGTAAATCCTTCAAATGCTTTAAACAAACTGAAAGAATACCAAACTGCAGTTACCATAATACGCAGCTCGCTGGCTAAACCGGAGATGGAGCAGCCTGTGTCTGAATTGGGACTATAATTAGTGAGAACAGCTCACAAGAATGTGAGTGTGCATAAAATATTAATTGGAAATGAATTGGTTATGAAGTTCAATAAGTGATATTGATGGTGCACAAATATCTGTTTTCTTTCAACGAACAATATAACATTTTGCCTGCTAATGTATATAGTGAAAACGGACAGTGTTTGTAAACATTGGACGGATTCTACAGATGCACACGTTGCTGTTGTTATCCTCTCAATGGCAGTGCCTCGGGTGAATTGTTCAATATTTGTCCACATTTGCTCAGAACATAATGGCAGTGCGACGATAATATCCTCCGATCTAACTTATTTTGATCAGATAGAGGTGTTTGGCAAGTAATTCTACCGCTTGTGAAACGTATGTATATTATTTGTTGATAACTGCATTTTGATACAATTGCATAAACTGTATATAAGTTTCACAAGCAGTTACGTAACCTTACATAGCTGAACCACTTTATCTAAAGCTGTTGATCGCGGTACTCACTCGTTATCAGATATAAAGAGAAGATTATGTGAGCTGATTGACGTATACGACCAGATATTTAGCATTCCACTCAAAATATAGTAGACTCGGGCAACTGAGTTCTTCTTTCCATCTTAGTATTATTGCTTATTGGTGGCAGCCTCCCGTAAACAACACCGTCAGTGATCTTACTTCGTTGACGACCAACACAAGGCAAACAAGTCACTGCCATACAAACAGTAAATAAAACTCCTGTAAAAAGTCAGGATGTCGCTTCCTTGTTTTTTTTTTTATGGGGAGAGAGGGAGGGTGGGGGGTTGGGGGGTGGTCACAGGCTTTGCTCTGATGACAGATCTCACCATCATCTTCTCTTTATTGTAAAAAAAATTAGGATCAAGGAAACATAAAGAGTTGGCGTAAGACTCCTCATAGTGTCTGCTACTACATAGTTGCTCTTGTAGCTCTGTCTGTAGTTACCATCTCTAATGTTTAAATATATTTTCTGCGATGAGTATCATAATCCGGGTGTTGTGTGTATAGTGAGACACTGTGACGTGATCATCAACTGCTTAATATAAATTATGATGATTGGTTTACCACCGACATATTGCAACTATAGGAGTCCATAAAATTATTATTAGTTACGCTTATCGACATTGTTGTATCATGAGGAAATATTTACTATGCGAGTGTTACCTGCTGTGACGTCACTTGTTCCACCAGGCACCACCACCCGTCATCCCTGCCACCACTGTGCCTGCCCTTCACTTGCACCCTGCCCAGGTGAGTCCACCTCCACCCTATCCAGGTAAATCCACCTCTACCCTACCCAAGTGAGGCCCACCTCCACCCTGCCCAGGTGAGTCCACCTCCACCATACCCAAGTGAGGTCCGCCTCCACCCTGCCCAGGTGAGTTACAGTTTTTAACTAGCCGTGAGTAAAATTTACACAGTAGTTAGCCGTGACTTATGGAACCAGGGTGCTTTATTATTTTAGTGATGTAGAAACATAAACAAGAATTGTCATGATTAGTCACATTATTTGGGAAGTGGATTTAAGGTGTAAGAAACACAATCTTTACTGTTGTCTCTGGGGAGGTTGGTGGTGCGTCGACCGGTTTGATTTTTACCCTTGTGCTCTGTGAGTGTGTGGGAAGCATCCTCCTCCTCCCGAGGGAGATGCTGGTGTTGATGACCTGCGAACTACAGCAACATCTTCTACAGCATAGTAATTCCTTGAGCTTCCCTCCTGTCTCAACAATTTGGAAAACTCAGGTCCTAGCCTTTCACGTGGTGTTTTTTTTTTTAAACCTTTTGGTTATTCTGGCAGTACAAAAAATACTGCAGACATCTTGATATTAAGCACTGATTAAGCTTGATTTGTGACACACTAAAAGTTTTTGATAAAGAAGTAGTGTCTCGCGGCGGCCAGGTTGTGGTGGCGATCCTCCATCTCCTCCACCAACTTTATTTTACTCTCGGTTGCACTCTTAATTTTTCTCATTAACTCGACCCTCGTTCAGTCGTTTTAGTCAGAAGATAATGAGGGAACTGACGCCCAGGTGGTGTTAATTACCTGCAGGTCTGCCCCAGGTTGTTGACACTGGTTCCACCCCGCCCTCGCCTCCCCATATCGCCCACCACATCCCCGCCCCTCCCCATCCAGCCCCGCCCCTCCCCACCCAGCCTCGCTTCTCTCACCACCTGCTCCTCCACCACTCTTGAGTGCACTTACAGTATAGAGAACCACACCCCGTGAAGGTGACACTTGAAAGCTGAACGGTAAAACTTCTCTATATTACTAAGTCTTCCGGTGTGAGGGAAGAGTGCATCCAGACACAATGGGGAAAGTGTGGTATTAAGAGACGGGGTTTAACGCTTGACACACACACACACACACACACACACACACACAATGACACAGTACACTAGAGGAAGCTGTCATCATCATAATAGCTTTAAAAACAGTTTCTTTATTAATACATAGATAATGATAAGTAGAGGGAATGTCCTCCAGGAAATAAATTAGTGGTGGTAGGACGCTTTCTCTCCGCTCACACTCACACCTTACACGGTCACACCTGTGCATACCTCACCAACCTGCTGCCCTCTTCATGTATTACATTTTGATCTGAAACTATTAAACAACAATTGTCAACATTAACTAGTCAGAATTATTTGTGTTGTATTAAGTAATTTAAACTGTTTGTTTCTCAATCTTAGTAAAAATAAACACAAGTTACCTGATTTAAAGAGCTGATTCGATCATTTTTGTTATCATTGCACGTGTGAATTTATAAACACATTTATAATGTTATTCATTACAATATGGTGACGACCAAAACGAATATTTTGCTTTGTTACCAAGTTGTATGAAAATATATGAAATTCAAAGTAAGATCAAAATCAAGAATGGAAAGAATTGGAGGGCGTGAGGTGAGTTGTGGTGACGGGGTAGTGGTGAGGCGACACTCACAACAGCTCAGTGTTGTGCTCGATCCCACCACGTAGGCACCAGCTGGGTCTCCTCGCCTCACTCCCTCCCAGGCTCCCACGACATACCGCATGACCCTCTCCTTTGCCATACAGCGTTTGATTCACGCAATACACGCTCGCTACACGTAGGTGACCACGTGTATGTGCAGCGTTCTGTGGATGAAGAAATTATCTTTGTTTTAATGCGTTCGAGTAAAAGGTGTCGCACGTTATCTTAAAAGACTTCATTAAGGTGATTTGTTTTGCGTGAACGGTGATCAGGAGGCACAGATCTGCCCCTCAAGCTTCACCCTACGACTAGTCCATCCTAGTCTCGCCCTTCTGTCATAGTAAGTTATTATTTCTTTTTGTTTCTCTGACAGGACATTGCTATAATGTGGCTGTCACACACACACACATACAAACAAACATTTTTTAGCAGTTGAGTATTGAAATATTCATGCTACATATAATTTGAGGCATTTATTGTAAAGATGTTTCTAGAAAATGAAAGTCTTCGAAAAAGAGAGTGAGAAACAAGAAAACACTTGAGAACCGGCTCACGTTATTGTGTTTACATCTATTTTAGTTGCAAAATTATACAATTTTAAATATCACGAGAAAAATGCAAACACACATCCATTTCGCGGTTGTTGCCATGTGGCAGATGATGGTGATGGTGGCCATGAGGTGCGCGTCTGGTAAGGAGCACCAGTCATGGGGAGGGAGGGAGGGCTCCAAGGTAGGCTCGGCCGCTGAGGGAGGAGGACCTGCTGTGGCTGGCTGGCTGCTGGTGGCCTCTACCCCAGCAGGCTGCTCCTGCTACCTCACGTTCATCTCTCACTTGCTTGTCAACACCTAACACATAACCGTTCAGTTTACGGCTGCGCGATATTAAGAAGTTATAATTGATTCTATGGCTTTCGTTAATGAATTCCATGACACACTGTGATCGTCAACAATGCGTGAGAATATATCCACTTTTTGTGTGATTTACGTTGTGTCAAAGGTCTTTAAGTAAGAGCGCGTGTATTTATGATGTAAACATGAAGACGTTAAAGCTGCGCATTTCAGTGCATCCTGGGAGTATAAGCAAACTGTGTATGAGAACCATAGCGGGTAAAACCAGGGCATCGATTACTGCAGGGAGGCCGGGCTGCTGCGTCGTCCTGAGCCACTCGCCTGGCTGAGCTGAGCCGTCCACTCCCCGCCCTCTCCTGCCTCTCTCCACTCCTGCTTCTCGCGTCACCGCTAACACCGTTCACATGTCGCCCCTTCTCACTGTTAATCATGTATGGGTGTAAAAGTCGGAGGCGGGGGGGCTACGGCTCCACTCGCATCACATATCGTAAAGTAAATATTGTGTTATTTATTAGTTGCCATTATCTCAGGTGCCCATATAGTGTTGTGAATTTACGGTAGTGTAATTATTATTCTATTAAAGTTGGAAAAATAAATGTAGTATGAAAGTAATTTACGAAGGTTAAGGGATTGGCAGGCCTGGGGGTGGAGGGCCAGGCCTGGTCACAACTCCCTTCACTCATAAATATTCACTCTGCACTCCTCCCCGGAATGATGTGAATGGATGGAAAGTGAATGTGATAACCGCCTTACACGAGTTTCATTTTCCACTGTGTGCCAAAAAAACACATAATACAAGAAAACACACGTCATCAAAACAAGGACAGATACAAAAAGGGACGACAACTGTGAGGCACCAGTCAGCTCAGCGAGGGTGTAGGCCGACTGTTGACTGTCTCAGGCTAGAACACTTACATTTCTCTCCCTAGCCTGCTTGTCACTCCCTCCCTAGCCTGCCTGTTACTTCCTCCATAGCCTGCATGTCAACCCCTACCTAGCCTGCCTTTCAACCCCTACCTAGCCTGCCTGTCACCCTCTCTCCCCGGCCTGTCTGCCCCCCTCTCCCCGTCCTGCTTGCCCCCCTCTCCTGGCCTGTCTGCCCTCTCCCGTCCTGCTTGCCCCTCACCCCGGCCTGTCTGCCCTCTCCCCGGCCTGTCTGCCCTCTTCTGTCCTGCTTGCCTCTCCTCAGCCTGTCTACCCCCCTCTCCCTGTCCTGCTTTGGCTCTCCTCCTCTGGCCTGTCTGCCCCTCTCCTGTCCTGCTTGCCCCCTCTCCCCGGCCTGTCTGCCCTCTCTGTCCTGCTTGCTCCTGGGCCTGTCTGCCCCCTCCCGGGCTTGTCTGCCCCCTCCTGTCCTGCTTTGCCCCCTCCTGGCCTGTCTGCCCTCTCTGTCCTGTTGCTCCTCGGCCTGTCTGCCTCCCGGCCTGTCTGCCCTCCCGGCCTGTCTGCCCCCTCTCCTGTCCTGCTTGCCCCCTCTCTCCCCAGCCTGTCTGGGTTCTCTCCCTCACAAGGTCCTGCTTGTCTCTCCTCAAGGTCCTGCTTGCCCCCTCCCTGTCCTGCTTGCCCTCTCCCCTAGTCTGTCTGCTCTCTCCTTCTGGTCCTGCTTGTCTCTCCTGGGTCCTGCTGGCTTGCCCTCCCCGTCCTGCTTGGTCTCCCCTGTCCTGTTTGCTCCCTCCCCAGCCTGCTTTGTCATGTTTTCTTTGTCATGTTTTCTATTTTTATTGCCTTTTCTCCTGACCTTATATTTTTGTGTAATTTCAGGGACTGACTCATTTCTGAATCCGGACCTAACCTAACCTTAATTCAAAGTAAACAAATCCATTTTCTTAAGGGTGGAACTTCGACTCCAGTTCAGTATCTGCGGTTCCTTCTCTACCATTATCGTCATCATCATCATCATCATCATCATCATCATCATCATCATCATCATCATCATCATCATCATCATCATCATCACCATCACCACCACCTCATCGACCATTTTCCTTATTGTTTGGGTTCCATTAAATTTGTTCACCTTGTCCTTGTATCGTGGAATGGTCAGAGCTATTTTGAGGTGTTTCGTGTTTCCAGTTTCTCCTATTTCTTTCTCGTTCTCCCTCTTCCTCCTCCTCCTGTCTTCTCACCCGTCCTCCTCTCTCGTCCTTCTCCTCCCTCTTTCTTATCGCTTTTTCCTCTGCTTTATGACTGACGTGTGTGTGTGTGTGTGTGTGTGTGTGTGTGTGTGTGTGTGTGTGTGTGTGTGTGTGTGTCCAGCCCTACCAGAAATTAGTTCAGATGACCTTCACTTTTCATGCAATCAATTTTAACATTATTTTCCTTGTTAACGCCACCACCACCACCACCTGTCTGTGTTGTGTTGGTGTTACTGTGAATATTACTTCCTCCACCTCCTCTTCTTAACTCATATAATACCAACCATGAAAGTGAATTGCTCAACTTGTCTATAA